AAGGAGGTTTTGCAAAAAAATTACCCACTTTCATGAAACCGGGGAGGAACCTATACACGGAAGGACCCCGGACCGGTGTTGTTTCGGCCCATTTACAAACCCCAACCTTTCCCATTATTTTACGCCGGTAAACAAAAAAAAAACATCCTTTTTCCCCCCCTCCCCCCCCCCCCCCCCCCCCATCCCCCACTATTCATCAGAGTTCCGTTTTACGAGTTAAAAAAGTGACTTAAAGATATGTACACGGAGAGGAAAAAAGTCTAAACAAGGATTTGAGGCCACATGGATTTGAGGTCACATTGTAGGAGTCAAACTCGAAAAAACCCGCATAGAGGGCCGTGCACTAACCGACTATCCTTATTCTTGCTACTTGGTTGTTAATCGTTGAAGTTTAGTGGTTCCTTCACCATTTCAACACTAGTGGCCTCTTTTGATCGAGCTTAGATTCGTGGCAGACCAAAACTCGCAGAACGTAGAGTAATGAAGGGGACATTGAATGGAGTTTAAGCAAAGACGTGTTTAAGCCACGCACGTCAACTGGAAGTGAACTCCTTTTTCCTTTAATCTGCCACAACGCCGCGCTTCCTTAGTACCTTTAGTCTTATAAAAACGATTTGGTCGAAAATTTGGAGCAAAACCACTGCCCAGGAATGAAAACAGACCACTTCTTGTTCACGTGCATGGCTCAAAAACGTCTTTGCTTACGCTCACTAATAAATAAAAGTTACCTCCTCCTTCCCATCACCCATCTCTCTACCTTATCTCTGGCTGTATAACAGACAACTGTTGGATAAGTCACTTACTTGATACCAAATGTCTTACCGAGTTATCACTCCATTTGGTTAGGTCCATTTCTGGAAGACTGCCACACCTAACTTGTTTGTTTCTCGACTGGTTTTTCTTTCTCATTACCTTGGGCTGAACATACGATATACCACTGTTGTCACAAACGATCCTAGCTAAGCTAACTTTTCTTATTTCCGTCAGCTGTGCAAGGGAAAATCTAACTCCATTTTGATTTGTTTCGTACCAGAAGCGGTCACCTTTTCTTAAATTCCTGAAATCAGTGAAAATGTGATATCCTTAGTCTATACCACTGAGCCAAAACTTCCGGAAATTAATATTCCCAATCAAAGGCTAGGTTAATGCCAAGATCATTATTCTGAAGATCTAACCAAATTTGAGGATCATATGTTGAGGTATTCATATTTGTCCAAACATAATGCCACTAAATGGTTGCTAATTGCCTCTCTCTGCGATGAGCTGGTAGATCACTTGCCATTATGCTCAAAAACTTCCAAAGCCTCTCAAAAATGGCTAAGAATGTTTACGAAAGGGAAATTTGCAGCCGATTTGGTGCCAGAAGCCTCCATTTTTGCATCCTTTCTTTCTTGCGCCGCCACCCCTCCATCTCCCCCCCCCACGCGCCCCCCCCCCCCCCCCCCCTGTCGCCACCCCGCCCCCCCCCCTACACCCCCCCACTCCGCCCCACCCCCCTCTCCACAACTCAGGCCCCCACGTTTCTATNTCTTAAATTCCTGAAATCAGTGAAAATGTGATATCCTTAGTCTATACCACTGAGCCAAAACTTCCGGAAATTAATATTCCCAATCAAAGGCTAGGTTAATGCCAAGATCATTATTCTGAAGATCTAACCAAATTTGAGGATCATATGTTGAGGTATTCATATTTGTCCAAACATAATGCCACTAAATGGTTGCTAATTGCCTCTCTCTGCGATGAGCTGGTAGATCACTTGCCATTATGCTCAAAAACTTCCAAAGCCTCTCAAAAATGGCTAAGAATGTTTACGAAAGGGAAATTTGCAGCCGATTTGGTGCCAGAAGCCTCCATTTTTGCATCCTTTCTTTCTTGCGCCGCCACCCCTCCATCTCCCCCCCACCCGCGTCACCCACCCCCGCCATCTTGTCGCCACCCCGCCACTCCCGTAACCTCCGCCACCTCGCCACCACCCCTCTCTCCAGAAGTACGCGCGCCTGTTTTATTTTCTTTTCTCAAGCGCAAATCACTCTACGTACAAAAAGAGGGGCTGCCCATAGTCTAAGCTTACCCGAATCCTTCTGCTAAAATGTGAGAGAAGGTAGGCCCCACATGTGAGCCATAGGTGGGATTTTCCAAAAGTAGTCCTCCAACGTATAAATCAACTTTGCTCAAATCTGAGCCATATAACCCTTTCAGCATGTTCTCTAAGTCAGCCGGGATTGTGAAATTGTTAACGTCGAAGTGCCTGTTGAAATCACCAAAGGCGGGGAGGCCATGATCCCTTCCACGCTGTATGTTTATAGCAACAAGATCAGCGATCTGGTTTGGTCCAGGCTTTAGCTTCTCACTTACAGCCCATGAGAAGAACCTTCGAATTAAAGGCAACCAGTGAAAGTTTTAATTGAATATGGTCTTCTGGATTCGTGCTATTCTGAATAGGACTGTTAGAATGTTAGCATTCGTTCGACTGGCTCCACCAAGAGAGCGGGAATAATCGAACAGAGAGAGAATCTTAGGGCGTTGGCCGGGATATGTGAATTTCACTTAAGTTATTTTTAGAGCTTCTGATTAAACGAAAGTCTAATTCCTGGGACGTCCACACATTGTAAATGATTGTTCGAAACTTCATCAACTTTACATGCTACTATCTCAGCGCAAAACAATGCAGAATATTGAAATGGCGATTGTTGAGTTCTCTCTTGACAACACTGATTACAAGTTTGCGGACCTCTACGAAAACAGAAATTCCGATTCATTTCAAGCGATTAATTGGCCTAAAAATAACTTTGATGAAATTCATAGGGCTAGATGGACTTTGCGTTTTCCGGCTCTCACTCGGTCCATTATTCTGTCTTGGTTGACAATTAATTAATTAATTAATTAATTAGCGTGATTAATTAATTAGCGTGTTATTCGCGAATGAGAACATTCATAAGCGCCACCCTCAAAAGAGTACCGCAAAGAAAATAGAAAAATTTAGTGCCGCGATGGTCCCTCTTTTCAGGGGGGGCACCCTGATTCATGGGACAAAGGTTTTGTGGCCGGAAAAAGAAAGTTGACGTAATAATTGTATCAGCACTGATGAGGGAACACCTGTTATGGTCCCGAGAGTGTTGTCTGAGTGAAAGCTCTCAGTATTCCTTAGAAGTATTTTTCTTCGCTTTGAATAAATTCTGGTTCAGTATAGAGAGGACGTCTGTCAAAGGCGCCTGGCTTAAGTAATAAAATCCACAAACCGCTGATTTGATTAAGATCTTTTTCCTTCCACAAGAAGACATCATTGACGGGACACATTGTATAAGCAACTTAAATTATCTCAGCCCAAATTAAAGGCGTACAGCACTCTAATCGAACATAGGTATGCCTCCCCTCTCTCAGTTTTAATCCCCGTGAGTAGACTATTAACGGAGATACCCTTCTAAAAACAGTACGTTTACTTCACCTTAAACCAAAAATGAACTCTACAATGCCCAGCCTCTGTAGCTAGCAGGATTAGCTGGCAAGCTCTGCGGATTTTTGGCGGCGGAGCCCGAAGTTCCTCCGCCAGGAAAGTACTCCGGACATAACAATCCCACCCTCTACGCAGGCTATACAATACCTGTCAACTTCCCTAGAAGGTTGATTTAGTAGGCCTCGTAAAATTGCATCAACACCGTCCTCAGCGTACAGTGGAGCAGGGTTATGAAAATCAGCTGTGGGTATGTTGGGTTTGTAGAAGTTTCCAACCGCGCTGTGTCCGTATCTTAAGGCTGCCGTTGCGAAGCTGTTCGCGATGGATGGATCAACGGATACATCGTAGCCGCCGTAGAAACCATTTGATTCCAGTACAAGATCATATTGTTTCCGCTAATTGGTTGGAGAAAACAACATCATAGATGTAGTTCAATATATGGCCTGTCTGAGTACCCAGGGTGCCAGACATTTTTCGTGCGCGGTTTCCGGTTGGGGTGAAATCTAATTGTGTAACCCCCGCAAAAAGCGGCCGCACCGCTCGTAGCTTCGATCGAAGAAGTATCGGCCTGCGGCCGACCCCGAATGATCTGCGCGCAACTCAATCGCCGCACGCGAGAACAAACCACTGGTACCCAGGCTACTGTGTGGCAGGCGTCGAAAGAAGTGGGCCAGGCTCCTGAGTGGGCGCTTTAATTTTTTCACTATTCCCCCTTCCCCCAGTCCCCATTTATGGTGCACGGTGCACTGGAGGTGTACGAGAGGCGGGAGAGGAAAGGGCAAGAGGTGGTAGTACTAAAAGGGCGAGAAGCCGGATAAAAAGGGGGAAAGTACTCAACAATGCTTTATATTTTGCACTCGAAAAGGAGCTAAAGGGAGGAATCCGGGAAAGATGGGGCGGGAACCGGAAATGCAAGGCCTTTAAAAGAATTACAAGAGGCGGGAGGTTTAGACCCCCTGTCTCCCTGCCTTCTTCGACGTAAATGAGGCCTCTATGAAAAATATCAAGCAATTCAATAAGCATACTGACCACTTCTTCACTCAAGAGGGCTGGCAGATACTCGTTGTAAGTAATGTGCTGCATCATAGCACCGATGATTTTTCGCGTTTCTTGGAAGACTTTCTCTCCCTTCCATCCCGTGTTTATTTGTTTTAACTTCCTGGCGATTCTGTTATGTTCTCGTACCCAGATAGTATGAAGGACATTCAAGGCTACAAGAGAATTGCAATTATGACGTGAGATTTGTTTATAGAAACCTTGCGGTTCAGTGTCACAAATCGACTCCATGCAAGCTAACGTCAAGAACATTATTTCAGAATACAAAGCAGCATGTATTGCCTAATGGAGAATGGTCTTTTACTCGAGGCCAGGTCTTCTGCCGGAATGGGCTCCATATAAATAGACCAATGAAAGGCAGGCCAGGAGGCGCTGGAGACTAACGGTACAGTAAAACGAACAACAAAAATCATTGTGCAACTTGTCTTGCGACATTGCAGCAAAAAGAGTTGAAAAGCGATGTTGCGCGTCCTACCACTAATTGGAATCAAACTGTCTAGCAACAAATCAGATTGCTGCCGATTGCGAAAAGTTGTTGCAGAAAGTAGAGAGTAGTTCTTTTTGCAACAAAACCTGCGTTTGTTGCAAAGGGTCCAGAGGAGTTTCGTGTGAATAAATGAATTACTTAGTTAGTCTCACCTTGAAAAATGTCTATAGCTGTCGCTTAGCACGATTAATTAGCCCAATGGGATCTTTATGAATCTACTGTAAACGATTTCTTCGCTTCTCATCTGACCCAGATCGACTTCGTTGTTCGCCATTTTGAAAATCAATAACCGCAAGCCATATCCTCGCTGGTGCACGGCACGTCGCCCGAAGGGCGACCGAGGCACGAAGTGCCAAGTAAAAAATATTATACTGTAAGCCGATCTTGCGAGCCCTCAGTCTCTTGGTTTGCGGTCTATAGAATGTGTAACGAAACTGTAACGGGATCAAAATAACCCATTTTTCAGAGGTTTTCGACGGCTTTTGATGTTCTAACGACACACACATCTCCTCTGGACCCTGTGTTTGTTGCGCGTTTTATCGGCCCGAGGAGAACTTGTTTCACAGCAAGTGACGTAAATTCCATGTATGGCGTGACTTCCGCGTAATTTCAGTTATCCAATCAGAAGACAGTATTCAAGCAACTTGCAACAATCTGATTTGTTGCGAGACAGATTTGAACGTGTTTGGTAAAACTCGCAACATGCGCTTTTGAAAACTCGTTTTGCAGCAATGTTGCAAAACAAGTTGGACGCTTTTGTCGCCCGTTTTACTGTAACTTCATCCTCGGAGGTCCAGGGGCAGTTAGTCGGGTCGATAAAATGTTCGTGGTGAAAGTTTTCTGTAAGATCGAGACGAACATTTTATCGACCCGACTAACTGCCCCTGGGTCTCCGAGGATGCTGTAACTTACACTCCCTGCGTACTAAGTTCTCGTTCACTGATTACAGTGAGTAGCGTGTTTTCTTTTATATCCCCGTCGAAGAGACAAGGAATGAATAAGACAAGGCCAGTGACTTACCATCACTTGTCAAATAACACATTAAAACTAAGAGAGACGAAGAAGTATGTTAATTAAAGCTAAGATGATCATAGTGGGACCCACGAACCCAGACTCATCGTTTATTTGAACAGCGCTAATGAACTCTACCAATCTCGCGTCGCCATTTTGAATTTTGTGGTGGGGACATCCTCTTCGGTTTCCGATTTTGTCTGTAGTAGTTTGGAAAAGGTTTAGTATATAGCGGCTGATATAGCCGTTGCATAGCTTCTTTATATAGGTCAAACACTTGCCTTCAGGCTAAATAAGACTTGCTGGAAATTTAGACACATACAGCTGGCTGGGTAGTAAACTTTACCTGGACTGACATTATTTCGCCGAAAGTCGCCTGTATAAAAGCAAGGCATAGCACCAGGATTTGGTGAGCGACAGAAAGGCTTTTTTTCGTGCGCTGGTGGCAAAAGATCATTGTTTTCCTGCCAAAGTTCACCTAGCAGATCTTCGGCGCGAGTTATTCTGACTTCATCATCGTTGTTGCCGTAAATATGCGAAGCGTCTATGAAGGTCGTGGCTATATTAACTTGCTCTTGGCTGGCGTTTGCGGTTAGGCATCTTGTTGCGCGTTTCATTTGAATGCACTTTATTGCACTGAAAATAACGTCACTCGCCACGTCAATTCCGAAGCATTCTGTACCAGGGTTAAAGCAGTCGTGGCAATTGGAAGAACTTGGTTTGTGCCACGTCAGTGTCATATCATGAGTTACGAACTGGCCAAACACGGCTGCCATGTCAGTAAGCGAAGCAGATTCTGGGGACTCCTCTGCCGGATCAGATGGTGGTGCATTCTGGGGAAACAGCTCTCTGCTGACGGATCTTGCGTTTGGGAGCACATTCATATTAACCTGGAAGAAAATGACGCAAGGCGTGCTAAGCATTTGCAAATCTATGAAATCATTTTCAAAGCCGTAGAAGAACGACTAGGCGACCATAACGACACCCGACTGGAATCGGAACAGAATTTGGGCTTGGGCCGGAATGGGATTTGTAACCCTCCTGGCCCCAACCTCCCTTTCCAACAATCCAGCTCTTTGTGCTCAAGCGGACACAAATCTATTACTGTTTTAAACACGGTTTAGCGGGGCGCCCGGGCATGAGTAAAAGGTACCGTAAAAATCTTCTTTACAAAGGATAGCACAAAGCCATAGGACCTCATAATAACCCGGAGCAAGCGACTTCACCAACCAGTTCATTTTTAGAACTTTTTTGGCGCGCATTACAAATGTAAGAGTCCCACAAACCAGTTAAAAACCCTAAAGACCGAAAAATGGTATCTTTGACATTTTAAACACGTTTTATAGTTTTCCTTTTTGATATTTTATACTTCGATTGCACTCATAGACGGAGTGGAGCCTCCATTTTCGAGGAAAAAAATGCTCTAGACTGGTATCTAAAATTAAACCAGTCGGTGAAAACGCCGCTGCACAGGCCTAGTATGCGAGCCGCTCACTCGCTCCGGGTTATGGGCTGCTGACAGCCATTATTCATGTTTTCTTGATTATCAAACAATTGTATCTTACCTCTCTCTTGGGTATCAGTCTCCTGAATGGAGTCATTGCTGCACCCCATGATGGCTTATTTACATTATTACAGGCACCCGTGATGTGTCTATATTCCGATGGAATGCTTGAACAATTAACTTGCGATACAATACTTCCACAAGCGTCCAACGATGACGGCGGAAGAGGAACAGAGAACGCTGAGCATGACTTCGTCAACATCAGACCAACTGCTACCACCAGTAACACCGACATCATCTGTGAGCGACAAACAATAGAGACCTTGATTCTAAGACGAGGACAACTACTATGACGAGACTTTCTTAACACTCCGTGGTGGATGCACGTAGCTCAGCGTCATTAGGAAAATTTATTTCCAACGACACAACAGCAACGAGAACGTCGCTTAAAAAGTAAATTTGCGTTCTTTCAGTCTTTATCGCGATTATTCCTACTTACTTGCTTTGTCAAATGTACGCGAAACCTCCTCAATTTGTTTTTTAAAGGACCATATTCAGGTTCAGAGTGCGAAATAAAAATTCGTCGTTGGTTGTTTAAGTTCTCCATAAAACACGAAATTAGGCATTTTCAAGTCGCAATCGTGAAAAACGGCAAAGAAATGTACAAAAAAAGCGAAAGTTGTTGTTTTGCTTATCAAACCTATTGTTGTTTTTTAGACGTTCTCGTTGCCGTAGTGTCGCTAAATCTTTTAAAACGCAATAGCCGTCGTCATCTGATTCTACAACGAGTTTTCGTAGTGACGACGGAAACAAGTTATCAAATGTTAGAAGTGTTATTCATTTTGCGATCGCGAGTGGGTTTAACCTCCTTCTATAAAAATAACCCAGTTAACTTTCTGGTGAAAAAATAAAACGAAGTTTTCCATTGTGTTTTTTCTTAAAAAAACGCGAAATAACTTCAAATCAAGTCAAATCTCGACCTCGTTGTCGTGCTCATCCTCAAACCTAAAGGTCTCTAGTGTTAAGCGAAATAGTAACAATTTTTTTCTACTATTATATAAATACACTTTGGGCACAAACCGATAACCCCTTTACGACGAATGCTTACAGATGGCAAGGACAAAGAAAGAACTGAGGACATGCAGCGAGTAACTAATGTACAGGATCAAATGCTGCGACGGCAAGCTCACTTACACGCGACTGACTGAACACAAACAAGCGACAAGAAATGGAGATTTCAGCAGTCACATTGCTGAACACCATGTACAGACGAAACATCAAATCGGCAGGGACTCTGCGACATGCATATATGTTTTCTACCTCCTGACTCACTTTAGAAAGCTGGTTTACTAACTTAGAACAAACGCCACTCAATCGTTGTCAACAGTTACCGGCACCGTACAAACGATATATTCAGTTGACAGACTCATGCAAAACTTACGACGATGGAATGACTGGAGAACCGAAAATTTGACGAACAATATTAAAACACTGACTGAATATTTTTTTTTCCCTGCATGCGTATGCTCTTGTGGATTAGAAAACAAAAAAGAGGGGTATACTAACAATAATACCAAAATACGAAATAAATAAGAGTGATCTAAGGAAAAGTTTGATACCTTTCTAAAACAAGAGACCCTACAATAGAGGGACAAGAAGAGAGACTGGGAACAAGGTAGGGGGTAAACAGTGGCGGAGCAAGAGGAGGGGCCCGGGGGGCCCGTCCCCTTATTTTTAGACAAAACTGAGGCCCGAACGGCCGAAGTTTTTTGGAGACCGCCCCCCACCCCCTTTCTAAGGGTCTGGATGACCAGGCCCCCCTTATCACAAGGTCTGCAGTGGATCCGGCACTTTAAAATTTAAAGAGGTCCGTGCCTTGCTACGATGAAGATACTGAAGGACCCCTTTTGAGGACGCATTTCGACAGGGGAAGAGGGAATCTTACTGATACCTAAGGGTAGAGACCCACCAAAACATATCGCGTTCAAATGCAGAGAAGAAAAGTAAAGGAATTGGTTGGAAGACCCGGAATTAAGTCCGCAACGGGGTAAAGCCGGATCAGAGCTGATATGAGGAGATAAGCGTTGGCGCTTTCTGTGCTGGTTAGCGCTTAGAAGATAAGAGAAAGTAATAAGACGGTAAAAAAAAATCTAAGAAGATTTGTTTTCCCACGTTAGTCTAAACAGCTTCTTACATAGATAGTAATTAGCACAAATGTAGGCTATGTAGGTTCTTAAGGTTCTTATTTTCCGAAAAAAAAATACAGAGTAACTAAGAGTATTAAGTGGTATTCACCTCATTCCTTATAATTATAAAACCTTCATACCATTACATTTCATTGGAGTGATAAGGCATCTAATGTCTCCCAAGAGTGTTCTGAATGTTGACTTATCTTATTTGCCCAAGTGTACAGATTTTTTAAATATATAGTTTAAAAACTAAGACTCTGTTTCAAATTTTAGGCTAAACAGGTTCTTGTGTTCTTGTAGGGCCTTACTGGCAAATTTAAGCCCTACAGGTTCTTCAAAGATTAAGCTAGGTTCTTAGTTGCGGGTTTTTACTGTATTAATATCACAATTTAAGACTCACCTAACCTCCGTGCTTTCCCTCAGAACTGGACCGAGCCTCTGTTACACAGTTAAAAACCAACAGACTTGCACTGCTTTGTGCCCTTTTAGTTCTCTCTATCTCAAACATCTATATATAACATCTTTTAAGGTCTTTAAGACATTTCACACATGATTAGCACAGTCATTAAACTGTTTACTGTTGTGGATCAGAGAAACTTAACTCTTTTACTGGACAGTCATTAGCAACTGGAGTTGCTTATCATGTGCTGGACAGGAAACATAAAAAATGGAACGCAGATCAACAAACAGAACAAAAAAGCAATTATTTTCAATGTATGAGCAGAACACATGCGCAGTAACAGAACGTCTATTTAAGCGGAACACCCTCGTAAACGAACGGCTTTACGTATAGCCGCCTTAACAAAGCCCCGTTTAATAAAGCACAAAAACTTTGTATTTCTACTGTCCACTAATGAAATGGCCATTCCCTACAGGCGGATGAGGATATTTTCGGGGATTGATTCTTCTCTACTTTTTTGTGTGATCTGTGATTTCCGTAGGCATACACCGCACTAGGCTTTTACCGCCATGATTAGAACTGTTACGTACATTGAAAAGGACAAAAGAGCAATCAGTCATTTAGGCTACCTTCACACGGCACCGGACTAATTTTCGACTAGTTGAAAATTGGTGCGTTTAGGTGTACCGTTCTCACAGAACTACGCTAACCGTACGAAAATTTAGACGCCTAGCCATTCCGGTGCCGTGTGGGGTCATCCTCAGTGTAAAAACCAGTGTGAAGTTTTTCTCATGGTGCAGTCACCTTCAGTTACGGACACTTTTTATTTCGCGATGATGTCAGCAGAGGCTCGACTGATGTATGGCCATTCAAACAGTCATTTCATTCGTCTCGGTTCATCAGTGGATAAGACGTGTGTTTTCTTCACCGCCTCCTCCAAATGACCTTCCACTTTCCTTGACTATATAGTTTAAGGGTCTTCGTTTTGTTTCTTTCGTTTTCTGCGCCCTCACCTTTACTGAGCCAGATTATGAAAGTGCATATTTGAATAAAAGCGGCTATGAGTACAGGCTCATAGCCATTTCCTTCAAACCTAGTACTGTTCATTTGACCCGGTAAACAGAGCTCAGGCAAGCCACCATATCTTAGCTCTTTTTCAGAACATTGGGACCGGTAAGGGCATAAAGCCAAATAAGACATATAACTGATGAGGCTATAACAGGTGACCCAAGCCCTTCCCCGAACTTTCAACGTAAATTTATAACTTTGGTCGCTGACTTAAAATATTATAGCTAGCATAACTAAAGGCTTTGTTGCCAATGATAGCATCGACCGTTAAAAGTGGAATCGCTTGTTTACGAGAGGGACATAGACCTCGGTTATATATAGTTTTTCGATTATAGTAAAAGTTGTCGAAAAAGTTTTAAAAAGGAAAAGAAAAACAAATTATCGAGTTCAGTTTGAGGGTTCTAAGACCAACAAAACAGTTTTTTAGGGCACACATTTAGGCCGATATTCTTTGGCAAAATGGCGCCTCCAACAAGTAATATTCATTAACGTAAAAAATCTTGCCTCGTCATAGAAAACAGGCGTAATTGTTTTTATTTACCGCATCTTTTCACTTGAACTGAAATTACTTATATTATTTTCCTGTACTCTTTAACTAACTGAAGGAAATCGTTAACATGTTCAGGCTCCACTTTTCGCCGCGGCGCAAATTGAAGACATTTTTAGTTTATTAACACATAGCAAAACAAGCTCCCCGAAATCATCCAAACCAACAACGACAAACAAGAAAAACAAAACCCTTAAAAGGAACTTTACCTTCTAGACCTTCCCAGCTGGTGCAGGAGGATTACTCAGGCGTTACGATATTCTAACATTCGCCGCGATCAAGAGAGCATATGCTGTCTTGCCGTAACATAATCAAAACAAAATTTTGTGGATGATCAAACTTTCTGGTTATGCAACAAATTACGGCGAAGATCCAGAATGCCTTAGTGCTTGGCTTGATTCGTGGCTCAGTAACTCTCTTAGTCCAAAATATAACAAAAAAAAAGCTGCATGGTAACTAAATTGCGAATTGCCGCTGAAAATAGGGTTACCAAGCTTGTTTATGTGTTTATTACATGTGATATATTTTAAACAAACTCCTACCTAGTCGATGCTTATTTATTCATTCTGTCCATTCGTATTGAAATCTAGGAAGGTACTTAAAAAAAAATGCGTGCAAAGGCGCTTGGGAACTTCAGTCTTCCCTTGATGCAACGAGGACTAGCAAATTTTGCCATCATTCACAGCACGGACAAGAGAAGACCCTGCACCTCAAACAAACATTAAGGGTGTCTTCTCCGCAGTTAAGGTAACGCTGTTACCATGGTACCATGCTATGATAAGAACTTGCGCAATTGGACTGTTGCCTTTAAGGAATTCCAAAAACACTGGCGGAATTACAATCTAGAAGTAACAACACAAAAATGCTTTTATCCGTTAGCTAAAAAAACCCCGCTAAATAACGGCAAATCAAGACGGGATACAGTGTTGCACTTTATCTTTTGTGATTAGGAAATTCAAGTGTTTTTCGGGAAATAAATTGATCTAAATTTTGCGATTCTTAGAGATTGTATTTCCAATTCATGCGTTTGTTCGAGTCAAAGTACGGGGCAAACATCAGCTTCGTGTTTTTTGAGGCGTCGAAGTCGGCTTTCCGTGTGACAATCAACATCTTAGAAAATTATAACCCGCAAAAAGAAAGTATGGTCACGCAGTATTAATAAAATCATCTCTTGAGGTAAATAAGACACAGAAAAGACTTCTCCTTTTCTTACAGTCTCTTAGTATTCGTATGAATTCAACTCAATCGGGCAGTTTCTTTAGCTATCAGTTGATACAGTTTATACAGCGACATACAGTATTATTGACAGCGACATACAGTATTATTGACTGTTTAATAACAAAGCGTAAAACAAATGCCAAGTTAATTTTTGCATCTCGACAACGAGCAGCTGAATTGCAAATCAAACCGTCTTTATGTGCTGTTCGTTGGAAATTCGATTGCTTTTTTCAGTGCCTCATTTTCACACCATTAGTGCAGTTTCGAGGTGCAAACTCCTTTTATGAATTTTTTCTCATGCACTTCGCCTTATTTTGAAAAGCCGGAAAATGTATTTTGCGATGGAACTTTATAACTCAAATAACTGAGCGGATGATGTTGGACGCGCTGCGTTCGAAAATAAATTTTACAATAACTGAGCGATTTCTCGCGCTCCGTGAGAGCTATGGTCGATTAGAGTACAGACCATGAAAAAATCTTTGTCGATTTGTTAAGTGTCGTATTGTTTATAAATTTTCACTTATCTCCTGCTATCAGAGAAAGGAACAAACGTCATAAAAGACAAAAGAAATCTCAGCTCAAATGTATAAATATACCATAACTGATGGAAGAATTTCAGTTTTTCAGATATCCCTATTGGCAGGCTACTAAAAATATCAAATCAAAGCTTTAATCTGAGAGCCACAGGCAGTGTTATGTTTACAGCAGATGCAATAGAAGGTTTACATAAAAATTAATGATATTTTCACGCAAACAAGTATCCAACAAAAATACTAAAACAATGCTAAAATTTATTCTCTGTAAATAAGCGGATGTGCTGATGTGATGTTGTTGTGAATATGTATTTTGTGTACTTTATAATTTTTGTTGAGCAAATTAATTACTGGCGGCAGAGAATTGGAGAGTCGTCTACGCCGTTGATGATTTTTCTTCTATTTTGTTTTTAAAAATTAAATTATCACACATCTCAATTATCTTAAACTATGACGTGTGGCTAGGGCCTCGGCAAGAGGCTTTTTTTTTTTATTTATCGGAAGGAAATACTGTAGTTGAAAAACACTTAAGGTTTTATTGAACGTTAAACCGTAAAATAGTTTCTCAGTCTGTTGCCAGCTCTTCTCGCTCGGGATCAACTTCAAACAATTTTTTTCCAGATACTGAGGTAAGTGTTATTGCTGTTGTTTTTTAAGAAAACAATGTACACGATATATATATCTGTGTGGATTTCATACAAGGTGCTTGTACTGAGTCTCTAGACAGCCAAGTCCAAGGAGCAACTACTCACCCTCCCCACCCATGAAGCTTATGACTAGTCAATCACTTCCCCCAAGCTCTGCTAGTAGTGTTATGATTATGAGTCACAGCATTGATTTGGCTGGTTTAGCTCACAGGAAAAATTCTCTGACTAATTGCACTGCTTTCAGACATGAAACTCTAATCAAAGTCAGCCACCCACCCACGGATAGGTCTGGGCCTAGGCTCTCTGCTGACACCTAGCAAGACAGCAAGAGCCCTTTTTTTTTCGGCTACACCGGCTTGAACACGGGAGATGCCCGTGTTCAAGAGAAAACTTAGCAGGCACCTTTAGCAAAACCACACCGATATACATTGAACATTTTTCAATTAACAGGGCGAATTAACAGGCGTGTCAACTATATTACCTAATTGTCGCAAGTAGAAGTTGCTACTTTGTTTTGTTTTGGCTCTTTCTTGGCCTTAAAATTGTATTTTTTTAGTTGCTCCAACATTTTTAAAAAACCTCAGCCAAGCCACTTAAGATTGATTTTCAGGCCCAACTTAGGCAAAATGTGTTATTGACATGGATAGTCGTTGAAGGTTAAAATAAAATGGAAAAAGAACTATCGCAAAATTGAAAACACAACCAAGACAAATTGAACAATTGAATATTACCGTCTGCTTTCATCACGTAAAAGAATGATGTAAATAACGTACTTCAGTTTGTGAATCAGCTTGACAATCAGTATGTAAAACAGTTGAGCAGCTTTGGTCCATTACCGATCTGTTAAATGAGTTTGATGTTAATAAAATACGTATGCGGTTTTCATTACAAAATTGCTTGCCATGATTATTATTTTTGACAAAAACAAATGTCCTGGTGAATTGCACTGTCCAGGATCATCCACGTGACGCAGTGTACTTATATGTTCAATCGATCGTATAGTGACGGATAAATTCAGAGTGGAACCATTTACTTACAACGCCTAAGGTGGAAAGGAAGGGTTTAAAGGAGATTTTTAAAGTCTCTTTGTGAACAGGAATTTTGTAATAACAGACCGCAGTTTGGCTAGCACTCTGATATCCAGAACTATCTAATTGCACTATCGTTGTCATACAAAGAAGCAAAAAAATTTTTTTTTTTTTAATCAAAGGCCTGCTAAAGCCAGGGTTTAAACCTGCCTTTCAAGTCATCGGCAGTGGAGAAGGACGAGCATCAGACTACTCCAATGTAAGAACTAAATATTAATGATACTCTATGTAAATACTGTGGTGAAACATTTTGAATTTTTGCCCTGTAAGACCCTGTAAGCTTGTTCAAGGACACTTATACTTACACACGTTTACGGCGAAAAACTTCTAAAGGTTATGTTTATGCTCGTTTAATACATCATCCGTCTAAAACGCGAAATACAAATGATTTATTTTCTTATATAACATAAATAAGAGACGTTCTGAGACATTTTCATTCCCTGTGTGGGTACCTGAAGAGGTCGATTTCGTCGTGAATCTTCCATCAAAGCGTCGGTTTTTCAGGCGACTAAAATCGTCACATATCAATAATTGTTTTACGTGGTAAAAAGCGGTAACTTGGTGGTAACGCTACCAGCGAGCTCAGCGCAAGTAGAGTGACGACGAAAACGAGAAAACAAGCAAAACAAAAACTCTAAACGTGCAGCACACTTTTTGGCAGGTTTCTTCGCTGTTATTTTCCGACTAACGTTCAGTGTGAAACTTGATTGAAATGGCAATTCGATCTTAAGATCGTCACGAATTCGATTTCGTCGGAAATACCCATACAGAGGCTCTCGTTTGGAAACTGAACTTCCAAAAACACGGCTTCATATCATTTACGGTAAACATGTCCGAGTAAGCCCTCAGCAAGAAGATTATTCAGCGACAGCCAAAAAATTTAAAAATTTAATCTTAAAGGAAGTGAATATTTATTTTACTGCCGTCATTGGAAGTAATATACAAGAGAGGTACTGATTTATTGTTGGTAAAATCATTCAAACTTCCGACTACAGCTGCGAATTGAGGCCAAAGTATAACTAAATAAATCGCGTCACAACAACTTACTTTTACATTAGAAGAGCCCCATATACATTAATGTCTTGTGTCTATTATCTCTAGTGATAGTAATGGAATACGCGGAAACTGTGACGTCAAAAAATAAAAGGCAATCGTTGTTCACGTCAGGAATATTTGCGTGTACCATTCCAAAAACCTTTAATTCGTTTCAGACTGATTTCTTTTCTTTCATTGAAGTATTTGAAGGCAGTTTAGATCATAAAATATGTCAAATAAATTATGGCTTTGACATATTGAAGAGGCCACGTGCAAGTAGACATTAGACATTGAAACCAAAAATAAAGTCTACAATGTAAGCTTACGTCCATTTCGACGGATAATTTTTTTGGCAGTTTAGTCAAATTATTCTGGTAAAAAATGCTGTTTTCCAAAAATAAAAAAAGAAAGAAAGAAAGAAAAACTCCTTTTTGAAAGGTAACGTGTGACGCCTAATTTTTGCATTTTTTTAAACTGATTTTGCGGATCGCCAGTGCTCTTGTATTTCGCGAGATATAATTTTGTGATTGCTCTCATTTGTTTTTTTTTTTTTGTTTTTTTTTTGCGATTCTTAGCTTTCTGGTCGCAGTCTAAAGCCTCTGTAACTGAATGTGTATAAATTCTTACAGAGAAAAATTAATTGCCAAATACTTTTGATTTTAAATGGAAATGATGATTACTACGAGACTCCTCTCTTAATACGGAGGATTAAAAATTTTAAGGGATATATTTTTTGGCTGAACACTCAGTTTACTATGATCTCTCGATGTCTTTGCGCACAGGGATAATGAACAGCTTTTAATAAGCAAAGTTACTTTTATGACAACCAAAAGGGCAATAAAACATTTAAAGTTATTTTTTAAGCCGTTGATGATTTTTACAACGCAAGGTAGCAGTAGGTCTATGAAACTCACCACCGAAATCATGGTGGGAGCCAAGCCTTTGAAAGCTTTTATTTTAGTTAAACGTCAAATAACGCCCATCATGCAGGAAACAAGTGTCAAGACGTTCCATTTGGTAATACGTGACCCGATAATTCCTCGGCTATAAGTCCGGTGTACCACAAATTAAATTTTCGTCACACCGATGTGATTTAGTTGATGAATTGATCATTTTCAATAATTTTTTGTGCAATCACAAACATTTCAATTTATTCATTACAGGGATTAGCCGTCTAAAACAAAGAACTTCACATCGAACAACAGTCTACTTTACAAAGACAACAGTTCACTTTTATGATAGACAAACAGAACACAGTTCACCCTCTTAATCCAACGTCGCCGATTTGCGACTCATGGCATCCTACGAAGTCAAGCAAAATCTTTTTTTAGGAGTGGGTACAATCCTGTATACACTTGCAACTGCCCTGGTTAACCTGGTCGCAGCTTACTACCTGCTTATTTACAAGAAATCAACATTCTCTCGAAAGCAATACAATAACTTCCTTATGGGTCTGCAAGCGGTCATGGGAACTTTTCTCGCTCTTACCGGCTACACCTGGACAGCGGTTGCCCATTTGGCTGGTGAGTGGCCGGCGGAAAATCTCGGCTGTTCATTGGCCAGTTTTTGTTTGCTGTTCTTCGGTACCATGATGGTCATGGTAACACTCATCATGTCTGCCGAACGATTTATAGCCATGTGCGTGCCGTTTTACTACCAGCAACTTATAAACCTTCGAAAAATTAGGATAGCGGTTGGGTATATTTTTGTACATTCTGCAGCACTAGCTATCCTGCCTCTCTTGTTAAAGAGCGTCGAACTGACAAAACATCCCATAGCAGTGTGCTTGTACTCGCTTAACTCCAAGAGCAATGGCGAAGTAATCGTTGTACATGTCTTCATTTGCAACTTCTCGCTGTCCATTCTGCTTATGCTTGTAATGAACGTTTCAGTGCTTAAAGCTTTGAAGAAAATGAATTTGTCCGTTGGAACTGGGGTTCTTACACAGATTGCAGGTGATCGCGAGGCCATAATACTCTCTAACCTAACCGGAATTATGGCTCTATCCTATAGCCTGGCTTGGGTTCCAATTTTGGTAAGGAAAAACACTTTATATGGGTTAATCTTTAAACGAAGATTGAAAGCAGGCCGGGAAAATCCGGGTGGAGGCTATGATCACACTATGCCAGGAGCGAGGACTGGGATTTAGGTCACCAAGCCCTCTCGGCCAACCGCTCCGGTACAAAGTTCTATGTGCGTGAACGACTTTTTCCAGTTCAGTGCCGTTGCTATTTATACTATACCGGATAGATTGGCGTGTCGGCATGAAAAACTATCCGGTATAGTCTGACACTAACATAGCCTCAGTCAAACCCGATTGAGTGTATATCGATATAGTGAATATGAAATTAAAACTCTTGTTTGGATCCAGAGTTATTTAAAGGAGCTACGTCACCAAATTCAGCCCAATTAGGAAATTACAAAATGCCCGTTAAATTAAGAGAAACATAAAATAACCGCTTAAAACGTTAAAGGAAGGTTAAAATAACATAACAGAAACAACAGATGCCACGGATGGGCAAAACTGAAGAAGATTGAAAGGGATTGAAATTAGGGTTTTTGAAAACTGTTCAGCCTAGCAGTTTTCAAAGTTGATCCCTGCTGCTTGCAACTTCAAAAATAATGTTCAGGAGACATATTTGTTTGTCTCGGATCTCTGATTTTGTCATTTACCTGTAATTTCTTTGCCTACTTTAAGTTCCATAGCGATTGAGGGAGAGTAATTGACAAAATTAAACAAAATGAACTGGACTGCCGTGACACAGCCCCTTTAATGCACAGGCAAACAACGAAAGGAACTCCCTAAAATGACCGGCATTTCCTTAAAGAGCTTCTCAAACCAAGTTGAAACTTACACTTGCCGTAACAAAAAGTCATATTAGTTTTATCTCTGTATCATAACAATTAGAATGATATTAATATTTCATTGATTTTTTGTTTTAAAAGAGGGTCACAAGTTTATAAGTTCAAATTATAACTGTAAAATGTTACCCTTTCAAAATAAAGTCTCCACTCCTAACTCGTGTAGTCCAGGAGAACGACTGCAAAATGGGGCCTTTTCAGAAATGAGGTGCAAGAGATAAAATCAAAAACCATGTGCCTTTGACGCAGACATTTCATCACTCTTGTCGCGAAGAGCCAGCGTGGCGCGCATTGAAGTCTGGGTAAATGTGGGTAGGCCCCAGAGAGATGTGGTACACTTTCCCTTGTCTTTTACAAGGGAGCTAAGCAACGACGACAATGGTGAAAACGTCACTTAGAAAGTGAATTCACAATATTTCTAAGATAAATGCTCTTATTCCACGTCGTTCAAATGTTGGTGAATTTTTCTGGAGTTGAATTCTAAAGGACTGTATCTAAGATTAAAAAAAAAAAAAAATTAGAAAAACATACAGAGTTGTTTTTTGCTTATCGAAACCTATTGTTTTTTGCCGTTGTTGTCGATGCCGTCGTACATCACCAGTCTCCCTCGCAGCCGTTTTTTGGATGTCAAGGAGCGTTGCGTGACATCTAAAAAACAGCTACGAGGGAGACTATAACATCACATGATTGACAACATCTCTCTTCTTTCGCCAGGCTCGAGTGATGCTCATTTATCACGCAAATTGGCGCAGTATATACTTCGACTTGGTCGCGTTTGGTTTGTCAACCGTTGATCCATTTGTGCATCCAGTCACCTGTATATTAGTAAGCCGGCGATACAGAGCAGGATATGCGGACGCCTTTAAAGATATCGTGTCGAGAATTCGTGGATGGATTTGCAGCTTCAAGCCTTGAACGAGAGTGGATCCACTTGATTATACACCCAGCGTTTCAAACACCTATAACAGTGGTCTGATTCACGTTACCTGGCAACATGAGTCACGTGTGAAATTAAGAAACAACTGTGATAATTCTGCGCAGTGTGCAACACCCAAGGCGCATGCGAGTGTTTTAAGACTTGATGTAATTCAAGAAACTTAGATAAAAGGATGGACTTTCGTGTGAACAAGAAAAGCTATTCGTTATAGTATGAACATCTATTCGATAAGTGACGCTCAACTTTAGAGATCGGCGCGGTGCAGCTTCGCTCCGTTACAAACATCGCGCCAAAATAACCGTTCTCATGTGTGAACAGAAGTCCTATCCTGTGTGGTTTTCGTGCAGGCGGAAAAGCTCTCTGTTTTAATAAACTCGAAATTACGAGAAGCGCAGGGTCTCATTCCAGAGTGCGAGCAATTTCAGTCTCGCGGCTCAACTTAATGCTCGCGGAGGAATCTTTTGTACTTGAACGGAGTACTAGTTTACAGGTAGCAGTATATTCCTTATAACGTGATAGGGATTACAAAAAAATTGCCAAAGCAACGCAAACGCTTTCAAAGACTTGAATGGGAATACTTGCAGACACCAATGATAAGCTATGAACAAAAACATGTTACGATGTCACGTGATCTAAACTGTGATCAGTTCGCGGTAATCGCGGCTCCCCCTAGAGGAAGGTTAGCTCGTTGGATCAATTTTGGTAATTTCATGTTGCTAATACCATACTACTGAAACAAGCCTCTCTGTTTTGACAAACACATGTTAATCTCGACGCAAAGTTATAGGAACGTTACTACATTATAGGAAAACACTGTTCGTTTTGCTTTGACTGATGCAGAAGTTTTAACAGGCTTTACAAGTAACTGTTTGCAGTGTTTGTTTAGAAAAATGCCGATAAAAAAGTCAAACCTCTGTGTTTATTAGTCTAATTTTCCTGTCAAAAAGTTCCTGACAAGTGAGTTGAATTCATCAGCATAGCGAAGGTGGATATTATGCCTTCCTTCAGGCATTAGATGAAGCTTGGATCCTCTGATATTAGCATGTAAAAACTCAGGATGAAAATCTGGAACCAAGGGATCTTTCTGGCCGTGCACCACTAAGGTGGGGCAAGTAATACTCTTAGCCTCGCTTACACAAATGTCCCCTCCCCTGTTATTATAGTATTGGCTTATACCATCAATCCATGCACTGTGCATCTCTTGAAGACCTTCTTTGCCATATAATGCTAAAATAAACATGCAAGTAAACAGGTTACAGGCCAGGTAGAGCGGCTGAAGGACATGGAGGGGAATCTACTTATAACTGACTCTGGAATCAGAGCAATCAAGAACATTGCTTTAGTACTCCTGCAAGATGGAATCAATTACAGGAGGAAAGGGAAGAACAGCTCTCCTCAATTAACGGTTGAGAGGACCAAAAACATTTACAAATAATTACTTTATTATGTTGTCAAGGAAAGTGTCAGCAAATAAGTTATTTTGATACTTGGTTTACCTGGGTGGGGCAGGTGTGGGTGCAAGAAAAGGAAGTAATTTTAAGGCTGGGGTTTAAGCCACATGACCTTTAGTCACACCCGCGACCAACATCAATTTTCTCCTAACAAAATCAATGCATAACCAGAAGGAAAGGTTATGAGAATTAATAACATGACCAATTGATCATTAAACAAATTCTCTCAATTAATTCTTTAAGGAAATGAATGGGATCAGTCAGGAGAGTTTGTATGTGGTTATTGGGGTTTAACCCTTTCAGCCCTAAGAGTGATCAGCATCAAATTTCTCCTTGTAATATCGACGCTTTACAAAACAGAGTGGTGATGAGAATTACGGACGTGATCACACAAGATGAATTTGCTTGATATTTTATCAATAAAAAAAAACGTCACTTATAAAATATATTACCTTCTAAAGGTTCTCTCATTTTTTGACTCCATTTTGATGTGTCTCTGATTTTCTCATACAGCTCAATGTCTTGTGCTGTGACAGTAGCATTGGCTCCCCATACCACCAGACGATCAATACAATCAGAATACTTAGCAGCAAGTACCATAGCGGTTATTCCGCCGTCACTCCAACCCAAAAGAGAGTATTTAGTATGACCTGTCAGATACCAAAAATTCAAAAATTATTGGTGGAGAAACTGATAATTTTGCATTGAAATGCAGATTTCTTCATTTAGCAGGATTATTATTTCAAAGGTTGTCTGCAAAAAAGCCCAAAGTGATTAAAGCACCATAGGTTAAATGGGCTGTGTCACAGCTGTCTGGTTCATTTTTTATAATGCAAATTATGTGTCCTTATTCGCTATGGAACTTAAAAAATTACCTGTGAATGACAACATCAGAGCTTCATATGAAGCAAATAAATTATGTTTCCCAAGCATTATATGAAACGTTACAAACAACACAAAACTACAAAAATGACAATTCCTCCAAAATGTCCTGGCTACCCTCACCCCCTAGGATCCCAGACTTACAGTTGAAGCTCCACCAACAGAAACCTCCCATGGACACCTCCCATGAGACTTCTCTCTCCCATAACATCTTCCAATGATAGATTTTGACTCCGAGTTAAAAAGATAAGCATAATCAGTGGCAGATCCAGACCTCCAGATAAGAAGGGGGGGCATCCAGACCTTAAGATAGGAATGGGGGTGTGGTGTTTTTTCGGTCGTTCAGGCCTCAGTTTGGTCCAAAAATAAGGGGGGCCCAGGGGGCCCCTGGATCTGTCACTGATAATTAAGTATGGGGCTCTGCAGCAATCATTCCTCATATTTGTGTATATCCCTGGGGACATTACATTTTTATTCCGGTCCCTTCCCCACCCTCCATATGGGGGGTCCGGAATAAAAGTGGAACTTCCCCATTTGGGTGGTCCACGTCTTACCAAGAGTTTCCATAAGCCCTGCTGCATCGTCTGCATCCCTTGCAAAAAAGTCAGTAGGAAAGTCACGTTTTGGCGGTATTGATTTACCGTATCCTCGAGGATCAAAAGCTACAACTGTAAAATCATCGCTGAGCCCCTTCAACTGAGGGCCGAAGTCACTTTGTGTGGAACCGAGTGCTCCAGGCATGCACAAAACAACATGATCACCTCGGCCGGCAACATCGTGGTAAATTTCCACTCCGTTCACTTCTTTCTTAGACGATACTACGCACATATGGCCTTTTGTAATTTGAAAAGTATTTGTGTGTGATTTTGGCCGTATTTTGAGAGCTTTACGACAGAAAGCACGCGATGCTGGCAGCAGCCCAGGCAGGAAGCGAACAGCCGCCATATTGAAAGTAGGACCCAAGCTCTCTCAGCCCTGTCTAGTCGTACAAATGAAATCACTAGCCTGTGGACAGACATCCCCCTCCCTCAGGAAAAATCGCACCGGCTAATAATTAGCTCGAATAACTCTGATTTCCTACCGGCGAGCATTGAGGTCAAAAACACTCCTAGGGTAGGGCAAGTTTCAAATTTTCGGATCGGAACTTCACCCAGCTCAAATATGCACTGTGTTTTGAGATACAAACACAGAGGCTGGGTAATCTGTGGTTCTATCAGCTTTGACACAATTGACACGTGAAAAGGTGCAACTTCTAAATGCTTTTCTTATTTCAAAAAATATCTAAAACGTAGGAAACCTTTACAAATAACTAAAACAACGAAAGAAAGCAAACTGAAGCTCCCGAAAACATTTTGGTCCCAAAAAACCCCTTGGACCCGAACCGAAACATGGGAAGGATCCAACTTGAAAGAGCCCTATCATATTATGGGCTAGGAGGGCGTGGAAAGGCGCCTTTCAGTGCCTTCGCTATTTGAAGCTGGAAGCGCCACCGAGCAACAAGGAAGAGGTCATTCCTTCAGTCACTGGTGTTAGCATTTAGGTGAACAAAGGGAGTTTGACTCGCTTGGATAAAACTTTCGTTGGCTTTTTCAACGGCGAAGACGGTTTACCCAGTTTTGTGCACGTCTGGGTTCGCTTATTCGCTGACAAACCCGCTTCCCTTTCCGGTCGGAGGAAGGTAAGCCTTAGCGTTTGTAAAATCCTAGCTGGTGTTTTACAAGAAGAACTACTCATCTTCCCGTTAAGCTGCTTCCAACGATAGCCATTGTTTAGTTGCTTAATTATGATTTTGCGATACATCGAGCCCATTTAACGTCTCAAACGCCTTGCTTCGATGTCCTCGCGTGGTTTATTTGTGAAAGTGGAGCGAGTAGTAGAGCTTGGCGAGCTGAGCTATTCGATTTCATGTCTGTTTCACTAAATCGAACGTGTTGTTTATACGTTCTTTCCTGTTCAATAATTCCATATANAAGCAAACTGAAGCTCCCGAAAACATTTTGGTCCCAAAAAACCCCTTGGACCCGAACCGAAACATGGGAAGGATCCAACTTGAAAGAGCCCTATCATATTATGGGCTAGGAGGGCGTGGAAAGGCGCCTTTCAGTGCCTTCGCTATTTGAAGCTGGAAGCGCCACCGAGCAACAAGGAAGAGGTCATTCCTTCAGTCACTGGTGTTAGCATTTAGGTGAACAAAGGGAGTTTGACTCGCTTGGATAAAACTTTCGTTGGCTTTTTCAACGGCGAAGACGGTTTACCCAGTTTTGTGCACGTCTGGGTTCGCTTATTCGCTGACAAACCCGCTTCCCTTTCCGGTCGGAGGAAGGTAAGCCTTAGCGTTTGTAAAATCCTAGCTGGTGTTTTACAAGAAGAACTACTCATCTTCCCGTTAAGCTGCTTCCAACGATAGCCATTGTTTAGTTGCTTAATTATGATTTTGCGATACATCGAGCCCATTTAACGTCTCAAACGCCTTGCTTCGATGTCCTCGCGTGGTTTATTTGTGAAAGTGGAGCGAGTAGTAGAGCTTGGCGAGCTGAGCTATTCGATTTCATGTCTGTTTCACTAAATCGAACGTGTTGTTTATACGTTCTTTCCTGTTCAATAATTCCATATAATTGAATTACTTTTAGTGATTTTAACGCTAAGGTAAGAAGGACGAGCTGAAACCACTTATTCCTATAACCACTCATAAGAATTTGTAACGTCGAAATAGTCGAACACAGCTGCACAGCTTATTTATGTTTCGAAACACTCGTGTTCAAGCTTGTCATTTGTCTCTGGTATCTACAATTGGTTTATACTCTACTATTACTTCCTTGTGAAATGCAAATGCCCCCACATAATGCCCCCAAATGTTATCTTCATTTCTCTTTCCATTAAGCTTTCTATGGCTCGTTACCAAATTAGGATTGATTTATAGCAAACCGATCGCTCACAAAGTGAGAGGAGACTTAGTAATTTCCAAGCTGCTCAAAACTTTCATTTACATTTTGTTCCCTGGACAAAAAGCATTTATTAAAAAAAGCTTGAATTTTAAATTGACACGAGACAGTTCTAGTTTCAGTTACTAGGTATATGCTTGTACAAGTAAATCTTTTAATTTATGAAGTTCGTTCATTGTTAATTCCAGTACATCAATTTTAATGGTTTTTGCCCACCTCTTACATCTGATAAGTGTCATTAATTTCTCACCTGATCTTACTGTACTGTTATAGGACACACGAAAGTGCTCTAACCAGCCTCACATGATTTGTTTTACTATTTTATTATTTTTATTTATTTATTTATTTGGGAAAACACAGACATGGCACTAAGTCTTTTTTGGAGGGGATCCATCAAATAGATCTAGCCAAAAAACAAATTACCAGAAAAAAATCTGCTTTGCAATAATTTACTTCATGATGTAGTAGTTATTGCTAGAACAAAACTAAAGATGAAATGAAATGTCATTACAAGTCAGAAAAAACAACCACATTAGATGACTTAGAAGGATGTTACAGAAAAAGTAATTTTTGTTTGTACCATGTGCTTTGTACCATTACATGTGCTTAGATTATCTTGTTTATTAAAAATCTTTCACACAAATATAGACTGTGAGCAGTCTCTCTTTTTCTTCAGATTTAGTGAGAGGAGTGTGCACGAGCGTTGAGCTCAGCGAAGCTGTGAGATTTGAGAAACGAGGGCAGCAGCCCAAGAAGAAAAACGAGAGACTGCTCATAGCTAGAGCAGATGAGTAATAATAAACATAGGCCTCACAACACCAATTATGATTAGCTGATACTAGAGGTGTTGACAACAAATTGTCAGTAATCAAAACTGTGGACAAGATGATGATGGCTGAAGCACTGCACTAATGTCTGTTATGTTTCCCAAAAATACGAATGTTAGATACGGAGCTAGAGTAAAGAAAAGCGTTAGAAGTTCTCATGTTGGGACTAGACGTGATCACAAATATAATATTAAAATCTTCACTAAGACTTAACCATAGTAGCAATTGACAAGGAACACTTTAGTTTCAAAGCTGCTGTCCTGCTTTAGAACTTGTAAAAGAAAGTGGCATGGACTGGAAGAATCTCAGACTGTTTAGCAATTACCAATGGATGAACTACAGGACATCTCGCTATGGTCCAAATACTCGCTTTATATCTCATGCAAAAAATCGGCACCGAAAGAATGTCAATATTGACTGACTTACAGCACAATTCTCCATAGTTGGCTTGGCTTTGGTTAAGCTACAATTAGGATATGTAGAACACTATTCCGTGAGAATTCAACATCCTGCAAACAACAAAAGAGCTAGGCCTAGGGTGATCCTATTGAAAACATACACCGCTGTAAATGACTTATCAATATGTGAGAAAAAGACTACAGTCCCAGACAAAAATAGTTGGGACACTTTAACCAAATGCTGTTTTTTCCCTTCTCGTGCTCCCCTCGTCCCTCTCAAAGTTGTTTATCGCGGTTTGGTCACCAAATCTTGTACACCAACATTGAGGGGACAAGGAGACCCCAAAGTGTCCCAACCATTTTGACTGAGACTGTGTTTTTGAGGAATTTTAGTTATGTGACTCCTCGTTGGCTCTAGTGGCGGGAAATCGCTAGGCAGGTATATGCACGTTTCGGAGCCATTTTTTCGGGAAAAACATTAAAGATTTCAAGGATAGAAAGAGAGAAGACAATTAATAGAGGAAAGAAGTCTTTGTTTCTTTAATTACAACATTCCACGGTATTAAAAAAGCTTTCTACGTATTAGGGTTAAAGAGTGAACAATGGATGAGTCAAAACTGCGCGCATTATTTCGCAGGCTGTGTATCTTGCCGCGAATATCTGGTACCGGTGGAGACACGATTGGACAGGTCACCATAACGGGTCACCATACTATCCAGGGCGTTTTCTAAGAGCTCTCTGGTATATATAATGGATTAAGAAAGAAAAGGATAAGGTACTTTCATACTTAATTGAAATAGCCAAGGTTTATATCGCCTTGATACATGTAAGACAAGTTATTAAAACTTTGATCATGGTGACACGATTGTTCGCTGAAAGAAACTTATAAATATCTTAATTGAATTAATGTAGGGTGACCCGTGTACACGTCGAGTAGAACGCTTTTTTGGAGGTTTCAAGGATAGGTAGTGTCCTCGTTTTATATGATTCATGTTTTGTACCTCAAGTCCCAAATTTATAGCACAGTAGTTTGTTTTAGTGTTATTCAGGAAGGTGTATATTTGGGGTAAAGAATGAGAACCGATGTCACCATTTGGCGCAAGGCCAAATTAACATATGTTGTAAACAACTTATAAAAAGTTGTCGATTTCACAGCAGTAGCCTGGAATATCATTAAGAAACTTTGGCGTCGGACCAAACAGTTACACTATTGTTGGACATCCTTTTTACATGCTTGTAGTCAATAGTATCTTTAGAAATTTAGAAAGCGGGATACTGTTCTCGCTGATAGGTCTTGGGAATAATCCTGGCTTGTTGCATTTTCCTCCAAACTGAGGTAAAGTTTCCCCCTTTCTCTCGAAATCGCTTAATCGCTCTTTCAGCTGTCTTTCGCCTCTTGCCCTTAAGTTAGAAATGCGTCCCTTTGAGCCTTGTTCCTACACTCTTTCTTGGCAAAGAGGCCTTCTCTATTATTCTCCACACATTTTTTTCAGAAATATGGCACATTCGAGTGCCTCTCTGTATATGAAAACCCTGAATCTTACGTAGATAGTATGCACGTGCTATATTGTCACGCTATCAATCGGGCACTAGAAAGCTATTTGTGTACGGTTTAGTGCACACTCAGTTCCTTTTATTTTACAATACTCTACTCTGCCCAAGAAATTTCTGCGAACTGGTCATTCTTTGTGTTATGTTGTTATGCCCAAATAACTTAGTTCACTGCTATAGAAACGTTCGCGAAACACAATGGATACCCAACAAACCAAAAGCCCGTC